TTTCTTTTCTTTTCTTTTCTTTTCTTTTCTTTTCTTTTCTTTTCTTTTCTTTTCTTTTTCCTTTCCTTTCCTTTCCTCTTTCCTTTCCTTTCCTTTCCTTTCCTTTCCTTTCCTTTCCTTTCCTTTCCTTTCCTTTCCTTTCCTTTCCTTTTTGATGTTGTTGTTGCTGCTGCTGCTGTTGTTGCTGTTGCTGTTTGCAGTGCCAGTTCAGTTTTCCTTTATTTTTGACAGCACTGAGGACTGAACCTAGGGTCTCATGAATGCTAGACAAATACTCTATCCTTGAGCTACACCACTAAGCCTCCACCAGGTATCCTCAAACACTTTTTCCCAAGGAAAGAGAAGAGGCTAATGGTATGTTTTGTGCAGATTTGAAAAGGGATGGCCACATTCACTAACTGAATATTCCAGCAAAGCCAACTGAGAGAGTAGTCAGGCTTTCTTCCTGACAGAGCCCGAGATTCTTTCGGCAAGGATAGGTACTGGCTGCTGACCTTTCTTGGAGAAGAGGCTGATCCAGATGACTAGAAGGTCTGGAGATCTGGGAGGTGGTAACTGAAGTTTCGGGGTGGAACTCGACATCCCCTTGGTGACTGAGCATGGGCTTTCTGGACTCACTTGAATCTAAAGGTGGTGGTGGCTGACTCTTTAAGACAATCCGCTCGTCTGGCTCTCTGATAACCTGAGTGACAATGTGCATTATTCTTCACTTGTAGTTTGGGGTTTGATTTGCCTAACAATAGCTAGAGGCAGGCTAGGACAAGGAAGAGAAACTGAGATAAATTAACAATACATGGCCAGGGACCTCCTGTAAATAAAAGGGGGTGGTGGTCCAGAAGGAGCAGGAGTCCAGGCCAGGGGTACACAGCCAAAAGGCTCTGCATGTTGACAAGGCGAAACTGAATTCGCACTTGGAACTTTGATTTCTGAAGACACAGACTTTTTGGTTCTGGGAAAAATCTAATTTTTAAACAAAGTGTGTCTGTGCTGAACATTTGCAATGCAGCACATACTTAATTTCTTCCACATGCATCTCTTTCAGTGTGTACCACACAAGCTTTCAGCTTAGCAAATGGATTAAGTTTGAGGCCACATTTATCGTATCTGGTTGGAGAAAGGCAACATGAGTGACTGGTGATAAGGTAAGAATCACTCTATATAAACCCTTCCTTGGTAATGGATTCCCACAGATGGAAGAAGAGGAGAGAGCCAGTGAACCCCGCGGTGGAGCAGACAGTGGAGCCTGAGTACCAGTCTGTATAAACCCTGTATCAGCTATGCTGCCCTAGCATGAGCACCACAGCTAGGGACACACCCTCCCCACTAACTGCTGGGGCCTGACACAGATGCTGGAAAGGAACCATCTGCAGATGCTTCTGATAAACGTACCTTTATGTTTGCCTCCAGACTGTCAAGAGAAGATGCTAGAAGAAAGAGGAATAGGGTGAGGAACTTGTCATTACCAGTTAGCCATAAAGCTGCTGACACATTCATCCCATAGCAGAAATGAGAGTTTAGACCACAAATGAACAACAAAAGAACTAAAGTGCTCTCTTGTAAGTTCCAAGATACAACTGAGTCTCCTCGGGTACTGTGAGTCTATAGGACCTTTCTGTCTTCCTGGGGTCCACAGTCAAGTTGTATTTTCAGTGACAGTACAGCTGGAAAGGGGTTAGGAGACAAACAGGTCATGGGTCAGAAGTTTAAGAGCCTTACGCAGTGGCCTTAACGAAAGAAAAACATATTAGCCCAGATGTGCAGAGCTTTGAAGAAGGCAATATGGGTCCAACGTAAAGTTCTGTGCTCTGCCTCGAGAATCCTTGTTGGGTTTATGCTCTTGAGGATTCGTGTCCAAGGTAAACGTGAATATAAAGTCGAGCCAATGGATACATAAGAAGCACAATGCACCTAAACCACAAGCCACTGTCATTACCCTAAACGTCCATGAGACGTAAGCAGACCTCACACTAGTGAGTGGCAAGGATGATTAGAAACAAAGTAATGACCTAACATTATGGAACCCTAGTTCCAAAACAAAGCCAAATGTTGCAATACTAAATTTTTTTCAATTCTAAAAATAATAAATACACATGGAGAAAAATGAAAAGCAAGTGGATGGTTTCCTGCCCCCCTCCCCAGGTTTAATGACAAAACATTCCTTGGACTCCTGGTTCACATTACAGCAGCAGTTGTAATAAGAAAGAAATAAGAGGTTTTTAAAGCCTGACATGCTGCCTACCTGAGGACAGGCATCTCTGTGTATGCATATGGTCCAGGAACTCCCCACTCTAAGCTGGGCACGGAATCAGCAAAGTCCCTTGCAGCTACAGGTACAAAACCATCCTGAGGCATAGGAACCCCCTGGGCACCCTTCTGCATGGTGAGTTTAGAAGTTCATCAACATCTGGTCTGCTTTTGACCCCTTGTTTCTCAAAGGGCAATCTATAACTCAACAGCGTGAGAACCACCCAGAAGCTTGTGAGAAAAGCACTGAGGCCCCACACAAACACGGTATCAAGACCTGCAGTTTAGAGGCATGGCTTTCTTCTCCCACTGGCCTCGTGGTGGCCTACACACAGGGATAGCTTGACAAACCACAGGGATTCCGGGATCTAATTCTAGAGATCTGAACGTGTGCAGGTTGTGGCTCTGCCAACAGATTGATGTGTGACTTGCAGTCACACTGTGACCACTGCAAACCTCCTCTCCTGCCAGGTAAAGACCAAGACAAGCATGGCATATGGGTGTCATCAGATGCAAGCTGGCATCAAGCTTGACCTTCTCTCCTTGGAAGGGACATTCGCTGCTGCTTGCACTCAGTATGACAGGGAAGATGGCACTGCTTTTACAGGCTGCACCAGTGACCTTCAATGGCAGGGCCTAAATTAAATCTTAGATGTGACGAAGCACTTTCCCCTCTCAGCCCCACACTCTGTCTGTGTTCAGCTGTGATCAGTCACTCTGCTCTCAGGACACTGGCCTGAGTTAATGTAAAACCCTCTGCCATCCCTTACAGGTCCATTAAGCCAAATACAGGGAACTCCAGTGTGAGGACATCATAAGTCAGTCCTATCAGGAGGTAACAGAGGGAACCATCGCTAGCCCTGTCTAGACTTAGAACTCCGGGCAAGCTGCTATGACCTTCACTAGGGACAGACTCACATATTCTAGTCATTGTTAATCAATGTATAGTCCAGAAATCTTAATGGGGGACAGGGATCACTTCAGGACTTTTTACGAAAACTCCCAATTAAAGCTTGCATTCATAATTATACTAAGACATGATTTATTCCCCTCAGTCTCATTCTCCCATAGTCTAACAAAAGCCACCATGACATATCATAACATGACTGTTCTAATGGGGGCATGTCATAACATTACTAGTCTAATGGTTAGCGATTTCTCTGCTGGTGTATTATATTTTGCAATGACTCGGTTTCAATTTTGAACTTGCTAAGTGTAGATAGTCACCATCCACATCAACCAAAGCTCTTCAAAGCCCTCAGTATCATTTACAAATGCACACGGTCCTGAAATCCACAACACTGAAGACAGCTAGCTACCTTAACCTAACTGCTTCAGAGAGTTGGCTCCCTCCTCTCTAACGTAGGATCTGGTCGGCAAGTGTCATGACCACCATCAGAAAAAAAAAAAAAAACAGCAAAACAAACAACATATTTGCAAACTGTCAGGGCTGCCTGTGCAGAGTTTACAGGAGGACAAACTGCTGCCGGCTTTGCCAGCCTAGCCAGGGCCTGTAGCCACACATGGTTAGTCACATCCTTCAGCTTGGTCCCCTTCAAGTACTCAGGACAATTTGAAAACAAACTGCTTCTTAGTTCTTCTGCCCCAAGGGAATACCACAGCTAGAAAGACCTTGAGAATCAAGCCCACAGTTTCCAGTGTAACCTGTAGTTCCTCAGAGTGAAAGAGGCCTAGTGGAATACAGTGGTGCTCATTGGTCAAATGTCGGTAACAAAGAACTCAAGTACCTCTTCTCTTTGAAAGATCAAAGTTTATAAATTTAGGTTTTCTTCTGGACTTCTGTGAACGGTGCTCCAAATTATTTTCACCAAAGGGGTTTCCACTGTCCACCTGAAAGTGAAGGAGACCTATAAGTTTCCTCACCCACAGTCGCTTGGATCACCTTCTTATTACCCATGATGCCTTTCAACCTCGGACAAAGAGAATCTTGGGAAATAACCTAAATCACAGTCTCCAGGTATGTTATGTTTACTCCACAGAGGAAACTGTCCACCATCTCCACTGAGGCTAGATATGAGAGTCTGTGTTAACTGTGAGCACAGAGAACTGAAGCTGACACAAGATATGTTCTTATAACTAACTGGTAATGATGAAAAGACAAAGCCCAAAGCTTCTGCCTCCTGCATGTTATAACTACAGGTGTGAGCCGCCAGTCCAGCTTGGAATCCTTTGAATTGGACAGCAGAGTATTCCAGAAATCAAGAGACTGACCAGATTCCCTTCCAGTCTGCTGTCTAGATTCTTTTAAAACATGATAGCACTGACTGACTACTCTTTTTTTTTTTTTTTTTGGTTTTTTTCAAGACAGGGTTTCTCTATGTAACCCTGGCTGTCCTGGAACTCACTCTGTAGGCCAGGCTGGCCTCGAACTCAGAAATTTACCTGTCTCTGCCTCCCAAGTGCTGGGATTAAAGGCGTGCGCCACCATTGCCTGGCAACTACTCTCTTACTTAAAGTGACAGACCACATTTTCCTAAAATAAAATTGGTAAGCACGATCTGCAAAAGCAGATCAAAATACTCAAAAAGGAGATTCTTCTGCAGCATAAAGCTAGACTTTGAAATATTTGTTTATTTTTTCAGTGAGGCAGACTAAAATGCTAATCTTTATTGTATGTCAAGAAATAGACTGATCGCCGAGCAGTGGTGGCTCACGCCTTTAGTCCCAGCACTTGGGAGGCAGAAGTAGGCGGATTTCTGAGTTCCAGGCCAGCCTGGTCTACAGAGTGAGTTCCAGGACAGCCAGGGCTACACAGAGAAACACTGTCTCGAAAAAACAAAAAAACAACAACAAAAGAAAGAAAGAAAGAAAGAAAGAAAGAAGGAAGGAAGGAAGGAAGGAAGGAAGGAAGGAAGGAAGGAAGGAAGGAAGGAAAGAAAAGAAAAAGAAATAAATAGACTGGTGTTTTCTACTTTAAATTTTTAAAGGTGTGTGAGTATTTTGTTTGCATGCATGTATGTACCACATGTGTGCTGGTGCCCAAAGAAGCCAGAAGAGGGTATCAGATGCTCTGGAACTGGAGGTATAAACAGAGCTGCTGTGTGGGTGGTGGGAACTGAACCTGGATCCTCAGGATGAACAGCCCATGCTCTTACCAGCTGAGCCCCCTCTTCAGACACAAGCTCTCCAAGTTTTTATGTCTCACATATGATCAGGAAATCTAGGTAATCAAGTATGTTAAATGATCTATAAACAAGCTAAACATATAAAGAAGTGTAATGAATTGTCAAATAGTGAAAATGTCAAGTTTTCACTCCCTAAGAAATCTAGCCAATTTTTTTTAAGATTAATTAACCCACAGTGTCAGGGACTACATTTTATAACCATTTATATGGAATAGAATAAGCTACATTGTCAAAGAAATGCAAGCTATCAATATTGCTGTGGGGGCATATTTAATGACACGTTGCTACACTTTGCTAGGCATCTTTACCAAGACCACCATAAAGAAACCAGCCATATAATATTTCTGTGTTTATAAATAGTTCTTATTTGTAGATTAGCCAGTCCATATTTTCTACCCAGAAAGCTCAACCTACCTACAAGCAAACTACATATAACCATCTCATCAGCATCTTGACCATGACTAACCCCAACTCATGGCCTCTGTCAGATGCACAGTCATCATTTCTAGTGATCTTTAAGTCAAGATATTAATTTAGCATTTTATCAATTGCAAATATTCTGAAGACAGTTACTAACTGGAATTTGGGGTGGAGATCACAAAGAATAAAAAATATTAACTTGAATATTTCTATACAACAGTATAATTACAGCTTTGTGGAAAACATAAAGGGTATATACACAAAAACTGAAGAAAATGAATCAATTAATGATTTGTTGCTGCTATGTGTATGTTTGTATGTGTGTTTGTGAGTGTGTGTGTCTCTCTCTCCTCTCTCTCTCTCTCTCTCTCTCTCTCTCTCTCTCTCTCTGTGATGTGTGTGTGTGTGTGTGTGTGTGTGTGTGTGTAACTCAGTAGCTCAAATTTTCCTGGCCAGGCCATAGCCTCAAACTCATGGTAATTCTCCTGCCTCAGCCTCCCAAGTGCAGGGATCGCAAGGGCACATCACCACACCTGACTTTAGATATTCTTTTTATTACATTGATGAGCCAATGTGTAAACTCATCTTGGATGTCTCTATTTTATAATATAGTAATTCAAAACAGTTTTTCAAGACAATAAAGACTTGTGATCCCCACTGTTTCTGGTGACTGAGGCTCAGAGTTTCTGAGTGAGGCCTGTCATTGCTTCCTTCCCACCTCCCCGTGCTGAAATCCTGTCCCTGTTCAACATTTGGCTACTGAGCACTGATCTCATTGAAAAAAAAAGAAAAGTGTTTCTTATAAATGATGCAGTTTCTGTTTTAATTGATGCACTTTACCAGCCAGTCTTGGACAGACAACTCCAATTCCTGGCAGCTCACTCTCTTCTGAGTAATGCTGGGCTATCATCTACAGACCTCATACTCTATTAATATTGGTTGAAATTTAAAAATTACCTGAATGACAGCTACTGAGCAAGTTCTCTCTGAAATGCCTTTATAGACATTTCCTAACAATAATACTAGAAAATGAACATAATTTAATGACAGTTATTATTCATTTGAATTCCCTCTTCAGTTACTACTGCCCACTTGTTTGCACGGCTCAACAATTCTTTCTCCCACTCTTCTGCACATCCTCATAAAGGAAGTTACTCTGAAAAAAAATTACTTTAAGCTCACATGTCTAACCACAAATGGAGGCTTCCTTTCTCCCGGGAACTTGAAACTTTTTCCATGGTTCCGTTGAGTCGGCCGATGGAGATGGAGACGCTGAGGGGAGGGTCCCCGGGACTGTGTGCCTTTGGGGAGTTGGTCAGAATTTTTCTCCTTTGGCTTCTTTTTCCTGTTATTTGCCTGGACTCTTTGTTCATACGATTTTGAGAAAGATCTTTGCAATTTACATCTTTCTTCCTGAGAGCAGAAAATAAACAAATAAAGATTTGTTGTTCTGCTTCATTTTGTTCCTCCAGTGCTGGGAATCGAGCCTAAGGCCTTCGTTTGGAAGGCACTCTACCTGTGAGCTGTACCTCCAGCCAAAAATAGTCTTTTGATTGAAAAAAAAAAAAAGATAATTCAGTCAAGACTATAACTGTAATTAACTGAACATTTAAAAACTAAGAACACTGCCTCAAATTTATAAAACAAATCTTTAAAAAAGGATATTTCTCTAATTAACCTACCATTTAGCTTAACATAATTAGTATGGATAACTGACTAAAATCACATGTTTTAAATAATAACAGGGAGGCTTATTTGTATTAGGGGAAAATTTGAAAACAGCAGATACACACCAACTTCCTCCAAGCACAGGCAGATTATAGACATGGAGTAACATGGGAGGCATATACATATACACAGGGGTCCACTCATTTTACTTAAAAGGAATTAAGCATTGCTGTGTGTACAGCAATGAGAGCATGTCTAATGGCTCAGGGAGGCTGTTTAGAGTCAGGGTCTTACCATGTAGCCCAGACTTGCCCTTCAACCTGTAAGCAAGTTCCCACCTCAGCTTCCTGAGTGCTGGGATCATAGGTATGTGTCACCCTGAGCAGCTTAAAATGGTTTTAAAAATTAAAGCTAGCTGTCACAGTGAATCAATAAGCATCTTTGCTGAAAATCCTACTTTTACACGGAACAAGAACTCTGTCTGGCTCCTTTTTATTCCCCCAGCTGTTCTGTCTCCCCCATATCTTTGATGTGGGGGGTATCTGTGATGTGGGGGGTGGGGGAGGCTAGTGGTCTCATATTCTGGTTTTGATACCATCACTTAACCATCAGACTCTACTTGAACATCACTATTCTGAATTCACAGCAGACATACTCTAATGTGATGGTCTAAGCAAATGGTCTGAACACAGAAACCAAACCAAGCACAAACTGCACAGTTTATTATATGTTCAGTTTCATTTAAACTTAGCAAGCTGACTTCAGATTGACAGTCTTTAAATTGGAGTGGAGGTTGAGGGGTGGGGGGAACTCCTGCCATTTCTATCATAGCCCTCGTGATTATACTTACAGAAAAAAATCTGTTTTTACTCGGGAACACACATTCTAGGATGGCTGTCCTTGTAGAAAACTCTAGTTTGGGAGCAATGCCCTAAAAACAAGGCAGCACAAAGAGAACCAAATAAAATTACTGGAAACAATTCACTTGCCCATCTCATCTCCACCAGAAACCCACCAAGAACTCAAGTGTCCTGTGGTCCACATACGCAGAATACATTTTTTAAAACAGAAAATAAAACAAGTGCTAAACCAGGGGTTCTCAACTGGTGGGTTAAGGGGTTGCACATTTATATAGTGATTCATAAAAGTAGCAAAACTGCCGTTATAAAGGAGCAATGAAATAATCTTATGGTTGGGGGTCACCACAAAATGAGGAACTGTACTAAAGGGTCACAACAATAGGAAGGGTGAGGACCACTAGGTTAAGCACCTATGTGATGTATACTCAATACTAAGCTGAGGTTTAAGTCAATGAAGCACACTCCTAACTTGGAATACACACATACTCCTAACACAACCTTGTAAAGTGGATCCTAATACAATTTTCACTTGGACCAGAGTGATCTCGGACACAGGCTGGCAGTGGCAGAACTGGTCACTGGAGGCATCGGGGTAACAGTGTCTATGCTATTAGCTACTCTATCTAAAATATGGGATCATAAAAAAGAAATTAGTAAGGAAGGGGGCAGGTAGAGGGTCTTCTTCCCTATCTACTTGTTTTGGCAAACTTATATAAATCATTTATATTCATCAAGCCTAATCTTAACTACTAGATGTCTACTTCGATATGGTGCTTTATTATCTAAATGACTGATGAGGTTTAAAATGAAATAAAACAGCAATATATAGAAATACGGAGGGGAAAAAAAGCTAGGTGGAAGTGGGGCACCCCTTTAGTCCCAGCACTCAGGAGGCAGAGGCAGGAACATCTGTGACTTCAAGACCCGCCAGGCTATAGATCGAATTCTAGGACAGCCAGGACTACACAGGGAAACCCTGTCTCTAAAAACCAAAAAGAAAAAGAAAAGAAAAAAAGAGAGGAGGGAAGGAAAAAAAAAGAAAAATCTAATTGCTACTGAACTGATAAGAGACAGTAAGCAGGTGAATGGTTTGTCTGACTGTATAATTCATTCATCCTCATTTTCTACAGTAGTAAATAAAAACCAGGAAGAGTGAACTGAAAACATCTAAGAGAATTAGCATCATGTTTGCAGCTAAGAACAGAGAGCTGAAATATAAGAATTCCTGCTCTGCCACCCACCAGCTCTGTGAGCCCCGGCACATTCCTGACGTACAGCATATCCCCCTCCACTTGATGGGGGAGGAGATAGCAGTCCCTTCCTGGATGACAGTGACAGAACAAGCTATGCCATGCTGTGAGCTCAGCACACACCAGCAGTGAACATCAGTTGCTCCAGAAGCTTTGGCAATGGCTTCCATTTTGATTTGTGAAATGTTTCAGAGGAGCTGAATCTCTCTATCTATTTTTTTCTTATTTTTATTTATTTATTTATTTATTTATTTATTTATTTATTTTTACAAATTGTTGGTAGAGCTTGATAAAGTCAATTACAGAAAATGATATTTTTTTCATCTGGTACATGAGGGTATTCCGATCCATTTGAAAGCTGATAAATCACTTTCATTCATAAATAACTACAAATACAACTTCTTACAGGTTAGTCTTTCTATTCATGCCCAGAATATTCACCACATGACACTTGGGGACAAAAACAAGTGGTTCTCCTTGTTTTGATTTTGAAGGTGGCTTTTATTTAACTAGGAATTTGAGGAAAACAAAGTTGATCTAAGAGTTTCCTCAGGCCGGTTCCCCTGTACTTTTATTCCCTGTGACATCCTAACAGGCAACATGACAATAACTTGAAGCATTTAATGATGGGCACCTCACAGGAAGCCCAGGCTTAAGTTATACATGAAGATAATGCTGGAGAAAGAAAAAAACAAGGAGTTTCCGGAAAATTTGCAAGATCCTGAAAGATAACAGGAAGGGCTTAAAGTTCCTCGGGCATTTGGAATTCTGATTAGGACAAGGTTCGATGACTATTTATGTTTAGAATATCAGTCATCAGAAGCATTGCAGGAATTGAGGTTTTTCTGAACACAGTCTGAACAGTACTGGAACAGAGTGGGGACAGTGACATCTCACTAAATGATAACAATAACAATGCATAGCATAGAAACAGAAAGCATAGAAAAGAAAGTAGTAACCATGCTTCTTATAATTCCCAAAGATGTGGCCCTTTAAGTGGATGTCATCCAAGAGACATAAAAACCCATTTAAAAAGTGGTTGTTTCAAAGAATCAAAATGAATGTGTTGAATTTGGGTTTGGATAAATGCCTCCAAAGAGATTATCAGTTGACTATCTGCTGTACCACACATGGATCCCCAATGATTCCAGCCTCTAACAGTTCTCCTCTGATAAAGAAAATAGAGTATCAGCCTTGGCTAATTTGAAATTGTTAGGAAGAGTGTGACTAAAAAATGTAGAAGGTTACCTGGAGGTAGTGGCGCACACTTTTAATCCCAGCACTCGGGAGGCAGAGGCAAGTAGATCTCTGTGAGTTCGAGGCCAGCCTGGTCTACAGAGCTAGTTCCAGGACAGCCCAGGGCTATACAGAGAAACCCTCTAAAAGACTGTGTAGAAGGTTGAAGGCATAAAACAAATGTATGATATTATTGCTGTCGTTATTCTAATTAGTGACAACAACTGTGACCAAACAGATCTTCCTGTCAACATGTAATATGTAGTAGTTGAAAGAGGAACTTTCTAGGACATCATGTGACAACAGGATAGGTGAAAGATACAGCTTAGTTAAACAATAGAACTCTCAGCTCTTAGGTCAATACTAGAAATCAGTATAGTTTGGTGTCGTGAGCTGGGCATCTGACCATCGACAAAAACAGAACTAAAGAAACTAAGCAAGAAAAGCTACCTGCCCAAGGCCAACCCTGTCAGGAATGAAATGTTCACTCTCCAAGAACTTTTCTTCCTGTAGAAGCCCCTGTGGGAAGGTCACTCACTGGAAACCAAATAGCCGTCTTCATGAGCACCTCCCTCTGCATGCCAAGGTGTGAGGATGTCAGCTTGGGCTCAGGGAATAGGAAGTCTCGGGTGTTTTCTTCATAGTAGGCCAACTCTTCCCATGCTAGAACAAAAGGATAAAGGGCATAAGTAAATGTCTCCTACACCCCTCAAGTTTAAGAAAACAGATGCTCAGATGGCGTGCTAGCTAGCTTATATCAGAGGAGGGACCCTCCGTTGAGAAAATGGGTCCTTGAGATCATGCTATGATAGACTGTACCCTCAAACTATGAGCCCAAATAAATCCTTCCTTCCTTAGGTTGCTTTTGTCTGGATATTTTATCAAAGAAACAAGAAAAGCAACTAAGACAGAATATTGGTACCCAGAGTGGGATGGTTGCTACCATAAACTTGATTATGTGGTTCTTGGGTTTTTAAAACTAGTTGGCAGGATAAATGTAGAGGAGTTTGGAATTCTGGACTAGAAACTCTTTGATACTATAAGCATAGCCTAAAGGATCATTCTGGTAAAAGCTTTGAAGCCAAAAATGCTGAAAGAAAGGCAAATAGTAGAGGTCTAACCCATGAAGTTTCAGACAGCAGCAAGGCCCCTATCAGGAGCTGGAAGACGGCCATTCATGCGATAATCTGGGCATGGCTAGTTTCACTCTGGGCTAACCCTAAGAACTTGAGTGAATTTTAATGTAAAGGTAATAGGCTAATCAACTTTGTGGAAGAAATGTCAAGACAGGAGAAGATTGGGTTGTTGGTAAGAAAGCCCTTGTAATCTGTAAAGGGACGATTGTCACCGAGGAGAAACCTCCCCGCACTGCACTGGGACAACAGGAAGGGTGCCCTAAGCTCAAAACTACACCCCTTGGAGGATTTGTCTTATGAAGGTTCAAATGGAATTGAAGGAAGAAAGCTTGAAGTGAAAAAGGTCTCCTTCTCCTTGAAGGCACCTGGCTAGGGAAGTGTTTCCCAGGGCATCACATCTCAGTTGACACTGCATAGCCCAAGGAGCCATGCTTCACCTTGAGCTGGCACTGGTACTCAGAAATGTCATCCACATGCTACTGGATGTTGAGTCATAAAAGATGCAAGATTGATGGTGTCATGAAATCCTGCTCCATAGCTTCGGAGAACATCTGAGACCAGTAAAGGTGTGGCAGGGTCAGAGTCCTTACAAGGCAGCCATAAGAGGCCACTGTGCCAGGCTGTGGAGGAAGCTGTAAAATGTGAAGAATAGGTTCTAATGCAATCCCCAAGATGCTGGAGAGGCCGTGAGTGTAAGGCATCTACCAAACCAAGGGTGGTTGTGGGCATGGAGTAGAAACAAATAAACAGAAAAGGTGAATGTAATACAGGTTACATATCTGGAGGGATGGGGTATCTAAGCCCTGCGGAGCGCAGTCAGTTTCATCATGAGCCCTGATGCTGGACATGGAGCTGCAGGGCTTGATGTTCTCCATGCTGTCTTTGATCATCCTCCCCATACTCTGACCCCTCCACTTTTAGGATGGGGATGATAATTTGGGGCCATCCTATGTTGGAACTGCACAGCTTGTTTTCTATTTTATAGGGACTCATAGTTAGGAGATTGCCTTGAGTCTCAGACAGCGTTTGGGCTGTTATGGACAAAAGGAACGTTTGAAGGCAGATTGTGTTTGCGTTGGGAGATGAACTTGAGGCTTTGGAGAGAAGGGACGGGAGGTTAGGATTCAAAGAGACATGTTGGGTTGGGTTTGGAGAGACTCTGTGGTTAAGATGGCTTCCTACTTTTCCAGAGGATTCCATTTTAGTTCCCAGAACTTGTGTCAAGAGTCTCTCAACTGCCTATAACTCCAGCTCAAAAGGATAAGAGCATCTTCTGGCCTTCACAGGTACCCGCACATACATAGCATATATATATTCACATGGATACATGCACGTACATAAATAAAAATAATAAATTTTTTAAAGTGATATGTTTGGAGGACTGGAGAGAGAGCTCAGTAGTTAAGAGAGCTGGTTGCTCTGCTCTTCCAGAGGTCCTGAGTTCAATTCCCAGCAACCACATGGTGGCTCTCAACCATCTGTAATGAGGTCTGATGCCCTCTTCTGTTGTATAGGATACCTGAAGATAAAGCACTCATAATCATATAAATTATAAACAAATAAACCTTTTTGAAAAAGTATTTGGATATCAAGTTGACTAGAGTGGAGTTGGGATGGTTAATCTCTATTGTCAACTTAAAGGGACAGACTTATCTGGGAGACTGACATCTGGGCATGCCTGAGAGGTTATTGTCTTGTTTAGGTTAACTGAGTAGTAAGATTTACAGACTGTGGTTGGCACTACTCTCTGGGCTAGAGTCCTGGGCTATGTAAAAAGAAGAAAGTAAGTTGAATACAAGTACTTATCACTCTGTTTCTTGACTATAGATGAAATGTGACCGGCTAACCCTGTAACTTCCCCTTAGTGATAGACTATAACCTTGAATTATAATCCCCAATAAGCCATTCCTTCCTGGGTTCCTTTTGTCAGAGATTTTATCACAGGAAAGTAATTAAGATAATATTGAAATGGGGATTAGTTTAACCAATTAGAAAATCAGAAGGCTCAAAAGTATCTTAAAACTGTCTTCCAAGTTTGATCTTTTTTTTCAGTAACCCAAACAGCAGCCAGTGTGGAAATGTCAGCACATGATGTGATGTGACAGAGTCTGGGTAATAAAGAATGAGCATGCTCAGAGTGCCTACTCTTACAGGTCAAGTAAAATGACTGAAAGCACTCAGAGTTCTCAGTCAGCTGATGCCATAGACAATGACATCATCAGGACTTCAGTAAACACGTTCCCCCCACACACACACACACAAAAAGACTATAAGAAAAGAAAATTCTAGTAACTATGTCAGTTCGAAGGCTACCTTGTGTTTCTAGAGCATATGACAGTTATCACCATGCTTGCTTCTGGATAGAGTAGGTCACTGATTCTCCTTGAGAGAGTTTAGCACCTGTCATGATGCCACATGGCAAAGTAGTCATTCAAAGCTAGGTCTGCATAAATTCTTACTGTCTTCTAATGGCCGTTACTAACTGTGGTGGAAAACTGAGCTGGACTTGTTAAAGAGAAAGTATTAAGCTTAAGCCTGAGGAGAATAATAAAAAGAAAGCACCAAGCTCACAGTCACACAGTGTCACGCTGTCCCCTGTGTCTCACTTTTTCACACCTTTGTAAACTGAACAACCAGAGAGAGGGGTCTTCATTTCCTGGAGCAAAGTCACTGACTCTCATTATTCACTGCAGCAAGCTCCACGCAGATCTCAGCATGGCTACTGTATCCCTAACTTGAGGGTCACAGCCCTGTGTGTATCTGCAGATGCTGTGAAAACTGTCAAACAAGAATATGCTATCTACAGCAAAACAAAGAAGTAATGGCCAGCTGGTTAAAGAACCAGTCTCCAAGAACCAGCATGATCCATATGATCATCCTACGCTTGACCCTATACTTGACTTTATGCAAATTGCATTTATTCAGTTAATACCAAAGACTGCTGCTGCTGCCATGTGCCACATGGGTGTAATTAACTGATGTATCTGCACATCCTCTGACGCTGAGTGAAACTGTTATTTTCAGCAATTTAAACTGGGTGTCGGCCGGGCAGTGGTGGCACACACCTTTAGTCCCAGCACTTGGGAGGCAGAAGCAGATGGATTTCTGAGTTCCAGGCCAGCCTGGTCTACAGAGTGAGTTCCAGGACAGCCAGGGCTACACAGAAAAACCCTGTCTCAAAACAAACAAACAAACAAACAAACAAACAAACTGGGTGTCACTACACTCGCAATCTGAAACTGGAGGGCTGTGAACATAAAGCAAGCACAATAAGGCTCCCATTCCGCATGGGACTAACTCCTGCATTATAAACGGTCTGCATGCTGCCAGCTTGACTAGTCAAACAACTATTCTTATAACCTCATGGGTAGATATCTGTGTCACATGGAAAACACATACATCCCAGCACTCAAGAGGGTCAGACAGGAGGATCATGGGTTCAAAGCCAGACTAGGCTTAACTAAAAAAACTAATAGTCCAAAAACACATAAACTTCTAGAAAGTAAGTACACACAATGTCCTATGAATAGTCTAGATAACTGTATATAGGCTCTGTCTGTGTTACCTTAGCACTACATACATATGCCAACACATACATACTAAGTGTGCTTTTAAAAGGCTAAAACAATGCACAGTAAACTGTCATAAAGTATCTCTCAGGAACTGTTAATGAGTGAGTTCTAGTTACTTTTCATCTATATAATCATTTGTTAGTCGAAATTTTTTCAATATTTAGATATTGGGTATTTTTTAATTAGTACAAAATTAACCAATACCAAAATAAACATGACCCTATTCTATTAACATAAAATGTAACTTGCCAATTCACGGGGTTATATGTTTAAACATAAAATTGGGTCAAACAAGAAAAAAATTATGGAAAAAACCTCAATGACCTGGTTTTAGCCTGTCCTCTTTTTTTTTTGGCTAAAAAAAAAATCATTCAGTAAGTATTTCTGAGTAGCAGGTAGGAGGCATTGCTCTGTATTGTCTACGAAAACAAGTAATTCTTGAATGGATAGCCTCATACGGCATTATTCAAGTATCTATACCTAGATTCACACCATAATCTGTAGATACTGGTATCTAAGTGCCTGTTTGTCTAGGTTGACACCATAACACTAAGATTGTGTGAAGCTAGGGACACCTAGATTCACAGAGTAACACCTGCATGCCCATGTGTTCCCATATTCACCCCACACATCCAAGGACTCCTCTGGATTCACACTGTCGTGTCTGAATGGCTGCAGCTAGATTCAGACTAGAACATCTGCGTGCATGTTCACAGCACTTGTCCCCACATTCACACCACAGTATTCGAGCATCTATGTACAGATTCAGACCTTAATATTCAAGTGCCTATCCCTAATTCACACTGTAATATCCATGCTAGACTCACTCTGCAATAATTCAAGGGCTCATCCCTATATTCTTAAGAGTGTAGAGTTCTTATCTGTTTACAGGGCTACCTTTGCAAACAAACAAACAAACAAACAAGAAGCAGATGACTAGCTCTACACACCACTCCTGATCCCCTGGCCTACCCCAGGGATGTCCAATTAGAGATGACAACCTTCATGGAAAGCCTCTACTCAAGTCTCCCCCTTTAGCCGAGACATCTATCCAGCTCACCACTCTCTTCTCAGTAACTCTCAGGAAAAAAGAAAGTTCACTTAAGAAAATATCTACATGGTTCAATGAAAGAGATATATATGTATTGATCATAACTGATTAAAGACTTGAATAAATATAAATTTATAGCAAAGGGAAATGCTTGCATCCAAACCTCATTCTGCAAGCAATAAAAAACAACGAGGAAGCCAGGCAGTGGTGCTGCACACCTTTAATCCCAGCACTGGGGAGGCAGAGGCAGGCAAATCTCTGAGTTCAAGGACAACCTGGTCTACAGAGTGAATTCTGGGACAGCAGGGGCTACACAGAAAAAAGCTGTCTTAAAAAACAAAACAAAAGACACAATGACCATTACCAGAAGGAAAATAAAAACAAAAACAAATCATAATATAGGAAAAAATTGAGACTTTTGGCATACTATATCTAAATAAAAGCAGTCATAATATGATAAAACATTTCTAAACAAATTACTATACAACCCAAAAGTCAAAAATTCAAATGATAATGCCCTGCTTAGCCAAAACAGGAGAAATAGGCACGCTCTACTGTTCTGGATGAGTAGTATACCATTAGAAATTATTCAGTCATAAGGAAAACTGAAATCCTGTTCCCCATTCATTCTTTCAAGATGAGATGGTAAGTTTAGAAGTTTGTTTGTTGGCATATTACCTGGAGACACTAGCTGTACTAATTCAAACCTGGTTAGGAAGCCTAAGAAAGAAGAAAATGAGATTTTAATATTTAATTTTAATATTTCAGAGAATTAAATGCTAAATTAAAACTGCCATATCTCATTTATACTACTGGTAATAACAGTATTGTGGGCCCTCTGTAGTCACAGATACCCTAAATGGAGATTCTACAACAGTCTTTCAGCCACCTACAAACAGAAAACATTTAAAAAGTAATTGTATCTGTACTAACATACATATTCTGGTCTCATTATTCTCTAAACAATGCAGAATAACAACTTCATACAAAATTTACACTAATAATATACAGATAATCCCAATTACATGGGATATACACACAGAGAGACACACAGACAACCACACTATAGGTTATAAGCAAATTTTAAATCATTTTACTTATGGTCTTTGAGCATCTATGTACTTTGGTTTGTGAGGAGGTCCTGGAACCATCTTCTCAAGGACACCACAGATTAAGTATAATTTAAACTATAGCAACAATGAAACAGGTCGGGATAAAGTGGGGGAGTGGAGCAAAGACGAGTGAGCAACAAAATTTGCATTTTGCTTTATGGAAAGTATATAATATTTTGTCTCTTAAAGGTATGTTAGGGGCTGGAGAAATGCCTGGTCAAGAGAGCACATCGCTCTTGCAGGGGATACAAGTTTTCTTCTTAGCCCCCATGTCAGGCAGCTAACAGGTGCCTGTAACTCCAGCTCCGGAAAATCTGATCCCCTCTCAAGCCTTTGTGGACACCTATGAATACATACGGCACACAGACACACATAAATAAAAGTATGTATATCTATAAAGTACTATAACAGCAATATACTTTTCATTTTAAAGCTTGAAACCCAAGTGCTAGTATTGATCAATGCAAAAGTTTAGCTCGCCTAAAAAGCATGCCATCTGACTATACAAATGTGACATAAATATATATCACGATGTTTCTTCAGATTAAAATATTTTTACAGATGCTGTCTAAAACATCTGTAAAGATAAGACTGAGACTTCAATCTTGGCCAGGAGGAATGGATGACTCAGCAAGATAAAGCATGTGTCACTCAAGCCTGATGATGTGAACAAAATCCTCAGAACCCTCAGAAGCAAGAGATAACTACTCCTAAAAGCTATCCTTTGACTTCTACATGTGGACCAACACTCACATCACACACACACACACACACACACACACACACACACACTAGCTAAAGCAATCTCCAAGCAAAAAGCACACTGCTGGGGCTATCACGATGCCTGATTCAAGTCATATCATAGAGCTACAGTAACAAAACCAACACAGTACTGGCAGAAAAGATCATGTCAAACAATACAGTAGAGTAGCCAGGGACCAGAATACACACCAGAGAAGACAACTTCTTCAACAAATGGTGCTGGGGAAACTAGAGAACCACTGATAGAGAATGGAGCTCCATCCTTACCTCTTGCCCTGTACAAAAAACCAATTAGAAAGAGACCAAAGATCTTAATATGAGAGTGAGCCTGTAAGGGGAAACACTTTAACATACAAGGAAAGGCAAAAAGTTTCTGGAAACGATGCCAACAGCTCAAGAAGTGATACCAAGAACTGAACAGAAGGGATTGCCTGAAATTAGGTCTTCTGCATAGAAAGGGGAAATGGAAAAGAGCTAAAGAACTCAAGAGAAGGGCTGGAGAGATGGCACAGTGGTTAAGAGCACTGAGTGCTCCTCCAGAGATCCTGAGTTCAATTCCCAGCAACCACATGGTGGCTCACAACCATCTGTAATGGGGTCTGGTGTCCTCTAATGGTGTGTCTGAAGAGAGCAATGGTGGTGTACTCATATCCATATAAATCTTTAAAAAAAAAGAACTGAAGAGAAGTCTTCACCAACTATATATCTGGCAAAGGATTAATATCAAGAATGTATAAAGAACTCCCAAAACTTAATGTCAAAAATCAAACAACCCAATCAACAAATGAGCTAATGAAAGGAGTACACAATAGTCAAAAGATGAAACCCAGATTAGCAATAAGCACATGAAAAACGGCAGGTGTAATGGCACACACCTGTAACCCAAGCACTTAGGAGCTGGCAACAGGCAAATCGGGAGTCAAGGCCATTGTCAACTGCATAGTGAGTTTCAAGCCAGCCTGACCTATATGAGACCTAGTCTGATAAAAATGAAAAATGTTCACCACCTTTAGGCATAAAGAGAACACAAATTAAAAACTACAGAGAGATTTCCCTCTCAGACCAATTAAACTAGATATCAAGAAAATAACAAATGTTGGTAAAAATCTGGGAAAGGGAGGACCATTATACATTACTGGTGGGAATGTGAATTACTCCATTCAATATAGAGGTTTTGCAAAAGAACTAAAAAGGATCATATGACCTAGCTATATCACTTTTTGGCATATACCCAAAGAACTCAAGGCAATATACTACCAAAATACCTACACCAAAATACTCATTTTTACTGCAGTGCTATTCACAACAGCCAAGGCAGAGAATCAGGCCCGCCGATCCTCAACAGACGAAGAAAGCACACTGTACATACACGGTGGAGATTTATTCTTACTGTCTTGGTTACTTTTCCATTGCTGTGATAAGACACCATGACCAAAGTAACTTATAAAAGAAAATGTTTAATTTGTGGCTCACAGTGGCAGAGGGTTAGAGTCCATGACAACTCATGGCAGGGAGCATGGTAGCAAGCGGGCAGGCAGGCCAGCAGGCTTGGTGCTGGAACAGTAGCTGAGAACTCACATCTTGATCAGGAGACACTAGGAATGGCACAGACTTTTGAAATCTCAAAGCCCATCCCCCAGTGACATCTTGTCAACAAAGTCATACCGCCAAATCCTTGTGCCAAAACAGGAGCACAAGTATTCATTCAAATATATAAGCCTATGGTACTATTCTTATTCAAACCACCACATAGACATAAAGAAGAATAAATGTAAGTTATTAGCAATAGAAAATAGGTGTAACTGTAGACTATCACCACATTAAGTGAAAGTCAGACACAGACAAATATTAGATATTGTCTTTCATTTAAGTTTTGGGATTCTTTATAAAGAAAACCTATAACTTCGTTTTAAAGACAGACAATCCAATTAAAAAGTAAGAAGAAAACATGAATAGCCATTTCTCCAAAGTACACTCAACCCCATTAGCTATTAGAGGCATGCAAAGCAATGATAAGAAAGCACTTCATGCCTGCAGGCTTCAACCAATCAAAAATGAGTGAAAGAAACAAGGATCGGCCAGAACAGGGAAAAGAATGAAACCTGCAAACACTGCTGGTCCAATGATTCAGCTGCTCTGGTAAGTAGTGCAGGAGGCTTACAAAGTTATTACACATGTTGTAAGTTACTGTGACCCAGCAGTACTACTTACAAGAGTGTTTGTATATGTTCATGTACATAAACATGTGTGTGTGTATGTGCATGAGTGTATCCAAGAGAATTGAGAACACATTTCCATATAAAAACTTATATGGAAAACATAAATATTCACAACATCATTATTCACCATAGTCTACAGAGCAGAAGCAACCCATGTGTCCATTAATTGATGACTGGAAAGATAACATGTGATAAAGTCGTATAATGGAATGTTAGACAGTGGGGTATTGGCAAATTCTATAATATAAATGAACTTTAAAACATTATGCTAAGGGAAAGAAACCAATCATAGAGGACCATAGACTATACAGTCTCCTTCATGTAAGATATGCAAAATAAGCACATGTCTGCTAACTGGGTATGGTGGTACACACTTGCAACCTCAACACTCGGGAGACGGAGAGAGGAGTTCGAGGCTAGCCTGGGCTCTGGGATAGACTGGCATCTGCATTCGATAGAAGAGTAAGAGGAGTTATAAGTAGTAACAATTAACAGGTATAAAGTTTCTTTTTGTGGTATTAAAAATGTTCTAATCAAATGATCTAATTAATTGTTGCAACAACATCCAGTTTAATGTTTATAATAACCAAACAGAATAATGTCATCCAGAAAAATCATGTCTATACTACAAAATTTTCTTGTGTTTTGTTTTTAAAGATAATATCTCCTGTAGCCCAAGCTAGCCTCAAGCTAGCCTCAAGCTAGCTAGATTATCAAGGTTAATCTTGAATTCCCGATCCTCTTGCCTCTGCCTTCTAAGAACTGGAGTTAAGAGTCCTGTGCCACCACATCTGGTTCCACATCTGTATTAAGAAGAATGTTTATAGCAATTTAAGATAGTGGTTCAGGAAAGTGGTGAGATGACTCAGGGGTGAAGTCACACAGGCCCAAGGACCCAAGTTTTAGCTCAAGAACTCAAAACAGGCTGGGCAGTGGTGGTGCACACTTTTAGTCCCAGCAATTGGGAGGCAGAGGCAGGTAGATTTCTGAGTTCGAGGCCAGCCTGGTCTACAGAGTGAGTTCCAGGACAGCCAGGGCTATACAGAGACACCCTGTCTCGAAAACTCAAAAACCAACTCCCTCCCCCAAAAAAGAACTCAAAACAGAAGGAGGGAACCAATTCCCCAACATTGTCCTCTGTCTCAAGCACACACTGTACACTCATACCCATATTTATAGGCACATAATGATAATTGTTATCATTGTATTTATTTTTACTTTTAAAATAAGAAATATTTATTATTAATATTGTTATTATTATTATTTTATATAATAAATTAACATTTTTAAAGGTTGATAGATGACATCTGCCTATATAATCCCAGTGTCCTGACAGTGGAGGCAGAAGGAGAGAGTTCAAGGCCAGCCTAAACTACTTAGCAAGATTATGTCCCTAAAAATCAACCAAGCGACACAAAAAATAAATAAAACATGAGCTAAATTTCACCATAGAATTTCCCTAAGTTTAAATGTTGATCAAACACAAATATCACACTTCAGTAGCAGCAGAGTTCTGTACATAGGAGTCTTTTTTTTTTTCTTCTAAGTACCTACTTTCTAAAAGTTCTGCGACAGCTCCAGGATCTATTGCCTCTTCAAATACCTACAGAGAAAAACAGGGGAAAGAAATTTTCAAAGTTTTACTAAAAGGTATTTCTATAAACCATACTCTATGTTCTGCCATGGGATTAGCATATACAAACATCAAGCCATGTGATATTTTAGCATTCAAAAGGAACATTTTTAAGAAGCATGTGGCAAAAGTACAACAAATGGCTGTAATATGGAGGAATTAAAATTATCAGAACGATAAGTGCAAAGAAATGTGAGTTAGCTGAATGTATCGCATGCTTAAAATGCCATCAGTTTGACCCACTCCACAAGCAAACACACCTTGCATCAACGTGGGTCTTGAATGCATAGAAAAACATTCTGCATACAGGAGGTACACATCAAGTGCTAATTAGATGACTCTTCTGTCTATGCAATTGGTTATGCTAAACAGGAAGACAGAGTTTACCCATGTGTAACACCAAAGACAAGTAGTGTTGGGAGTGACTTCAATCATCGAACACAGGAAAAACGTTACTATATCACCTTAAACATCGTCAGATCTGTGGGTTTTCTTTAAACAAAAGGTTCCAAGTCAGCACTGACAAAGAACAGGCCCTTCTGAAAGCAAACGGTTTTCAACTGTTCTTCAGTAGAACCTTTAACCTTTAAACTTCTAATTTAAATAATGCTTAAAGTTAAGCATGGTTCAAATTCTGCTTGAGATTTTAAAGCCAGGTCTCCTTTGAGGGCAAAATTGGGCAGTGCTTTGCCTACTTGTGTTTTCTAAGTAAATACAGGTAACATTTTTTTTCCTAAACTCTTTCAATAATTATATCCTTCCATTTCACACTGTTAACAGTTGGATTGTGTCCCTGTCAATACTCACAGGTTGACATCGAACCCTAGTCTCCCAGAATATGATCTGATTTCCAAATGGGATCAATACAAATATGTTTAGTTAAACTTTGAATGAGGTCCTAGTGGAACAGGTTGGGCATTTAACACATGATTGATGTCTTTTTATTTAAGTGAGTATTTAAGCATAAAATTTCATGTTTTTAAAGTTAAAAATAAACAAAAATAAATTTATGAGTGCACTTGAGCAGGAAAAAAAAAATTCAGAAACCATACAGAACTCAAAAGGAGTCACTATTACAAATCAGGCATAAAGTTTTCTATTCTGACATGCAACCCAGAGAAAGCAAATATAGTACTTGGTTAGAGTAGACAGAGCCAGCACAGGTCACAAACCCAGCAAGGGCACCTGACATTCTGATCAATGAAGTGTCTACTTTTGTTTTACAGTTCACATGTATCTTCTTTTGCCTTAAAGAACTGGAGCTCCTCTGGCTAATGATCAGACTGTTTTGAATTTCATGTGCTATGGAGAATAAATGGTTAAGTGGTACATACTGGAGTTATGATGCTATGAACCAGTGTTTCTCAGCCTTCCTAATGCTGCAACCCATTAAGAGAGCTCCTCATGTTGTGGTGACCCCAGCCATAAAATTATTTCCATTCCTACTCCATAACTGCAATTTTGCTGCTATTATGAATCATAACAGCATAATCTGTGTTTTTCAATGGTCTTAGGAGACCCCAGTGAAAGAGTCAAACTTTCCCAAGGGGTTACAACTCACAGGTTGAGAACCACTGTTATAAACCAAAGAACTAGCTTCCATCATGCTTCAGGAAGTAGTGTGGCCCCCACGGACATTCTTTGACGCCTAGTCTCCAGTACTGTGAGATAGTAAGTTTGCTGCTACTTCTGCATGTCAGTTCTAAGAATCTAACATATCTACATGGAAGGGTTTTCTCAAGGGTGATCTGAAGCAAATGGTCAGCTTAGTCTACTCAAATACAATGGCTCACGAATTTTTATGAGGGATTTGTTTACCCAAATGCTTTTAAGTTATTCAAATCTAAGCCATGCAAAGGGCTTGTGGGGAACGAAAATGCTTTTGCTATGTGCTACACGCGTTTTCAGCTATAGAACGGAACAGATCTCAAGAAACCTGGAACTAGAAGAAACTAGAATATGAGCCTAAACAACTTTTGTTTTAGAAAAAGAAAAAAAAAATGATCCCACAGTATGTTTGCCGAGTAATCTCAGGCTTTCCCACCCAGCAAGAGAGAAGGGTGAATATCAGGCATTCTCCTTTTCAAAAACAGAGCAGGGCGGCTTAGGTTAAGTTCCCAAGGTATTCATGGATGTATCATGCCCTGTTTGCACAATTTTGTATCTATGTGCTTTCTTACAATTCTGTCTTAGAAGTCTTGTACAGGGCCAGCAATTGATGAATGGGGAAAATGTTGGGGATGGGGAACCTCTCATTTTCAGCACCTACTTCGCACCCTGTCCATCACCCTCATATGGCCAGTAGAATAATCTGGGTTCTGACTGTATTTTCCAGGATATTAACCATTTACTGTTTTACCCAACCAGCTTGATATATGCTTTCAAATGAATAGACTTCAGTTTTTTTAAAATGCTACAATCTTCATCTTTTCTCTCATCATTGAATTAAAAGAGATAGGAGGGTTTCTGGAAAGCATCTTCAATGTGAATCAATGTGATACAGTCTTCCCTCTACCCCAAAAGTCCACCTTAGGGGACACTGGGCAAAACCATTAGGCTTACTAAAGATTATTCCAATTTCATCTCCAAATCCAAAACCAATGCCTTAGGGTGTTGTCCGTGATTGCAGAGTATTGAATAGTCTGCAATCACAGATAACTTTACTGTATTGCAGTGGGAAGCCCTGGCCAGTGTTTTTTGCAAGTTTTAAAATCATGATTGCACTCATTGGAATGGAATCTAGCCCTTGCTACTATTAACTATATAACACACACATGACTTAAGGAAACTCAAAAAAAAAAAAAATAGGGACAGCTTTCTTGTTTAATTACAGGCTTTCAATTACCAGGTAGCGCTGACTTGGTTATAGTTTTAAGTTATGTTTCTTAAGAAAGTTTTTCTTAAGTTCTACAGTTTATTAATAGCCTCTTTCATAAATGCAATACAACTGTCTCTAACACCTCCAAGAACATTCAGAACCGCTCTCTGCTCCAGTTAAAAAAAATGCCATGGGAGTTCCAAGAATAGAAAGTATCCACCAGGGTATTTAGCACTCAATTGACAGAACTTGGCTCAGGCCTGCATAGCAAAAAGCAAGACTTCCAAACTGTGGTTTTTTGCCTCAAGGTCGCTTGTACTTTTTACACTGTGTTAAAAATGAAAAAAAAATGTACAAAACCGCTATTCTTTATGACTATAAAACTGGCTTCAGACGGAAAACCCACTGAGAGGTCAAAATCACCTTCTCAAATCTCATGCTCTGTTGAATCACAATAGGGAACACAGAGGGAAAGCAGTCTGTCTCCAGGTACTGATTCAGAAGGTAGACTCCAAGGTACACAACTTCCTTGTCCGGCAGGAACACTCCCGGGCAAGAAATCTTAAAAAGAAAAAGAAGGCAATCAGGAATTGTTTTTGTGCAGCGAGGCTCTTTATCCTAACCTCCCATAGCACTGAAATGACGCCATCACTGCGTCCTTCACTTGCACTTAACAGCTTCTCCATCCTCCCACCTCTGCTCAAGCTGGCTCTCCCGGTTCCCTCCCACGTCTCCGCCAGGTGTCACAATCGTGCTCTGCGGCTCCTCGGCCCGCCCTCCGGGATGGCAGTGCGGAAGCGGAAGAGGCTGACGGGCCGGGAAGCCTGTCTCCGGTCTGGCCGGGTCCCCGGGACCGGCCGCCCGCCGTGATGCCGAGCCCCCGGAGGACCATCGAGGGGCGGCCGCTGGGCTCCTCGGGCGGAAGCAGCGTCCCAGGCAGCCCGGCCCACGGCGGCGGCGGCGGCAGGTTCGAGTTCCAATCGCTGCTGAACTGCCGCGCGGGCGCGGATCCCGCCTGCGCCCGGCTGCGCGCGTCCGACAGCCCGGTGCACCGGCGCGGCTCCTTCCCTCTGGCCGCCGCGGGCCCCGCACAGGCAGCCCCGGCCCCGCCGCCGGAGGACGCCCGCATGAACTTGAACCCGTCCTTCCTGGGCATCGCCCTGCGCTCCCTGCTGGCCATCGATCTATGGCTGTCCAAGAAGCTGGGGGTGTGTGCTGGGGAGAGCTCGGCCTGGGGCAGCGTGCGACCCCTGATGAAGCTGCTGGAGATCTCGGGGCATGGCATCCCCTGGTTGCTCGGCACCCTCTACTGCCTGCTTAGGAGCGACAGCTGGGCCGGACGCGAAGTGCTGATGAACCTGCTCTTCGCCCTGCTGTTGGACCTGCTGCTGGTGGCTGTGATTAAAGGGCTGGTCCGCAGGCGCCGACCCGCGCACAATCAGATGGACATGTTTTTCACCCTCTCGGTGGACAAGTACTCCTTTCCCTCGGGCCATGCCACGAGGGCCGCTCTGGTGTCGCGGTTCATCCTGAACCACCTGGTACTGGCCATTCCACTCAGGGTGCTGGTGGTCCTGTGGGCCTTTGTCTTGGGTCTCTCCAGGGTCATGCTTGGGCGCCACAACGTCACTGATGTGGCTTTTGGCTTTTTTCTGGGCTACATGCAGTACAGCATTGTGGATTATTGCTGGCTGTCACCCCACAATGTTCCAGTTCTTTTTGTACTGTGGAATCAACAGTGACAACATCTCATTGATTGTTGGCACCACAAGGTCTGAAGGGTTCCACATTCGAGGATTCTGACCTAAGCCAGAGCCATCCAGTCGCCCCTCAGACATTTTGGGCGGCCTTTGGGAATTCTGGGATCCCACTGTCTTGACAAGTTTCCTAGACCGGAGCTCATGCTGGCTATTACTGAACACTGGCCATACTAGAGAAACAAAGTCTATTGTGTATGTATTCGACAGCTATCTATCTCCAAGACAACTGCAAAGATATCAAGCTGGCTGACTATGTGATTACTATTTAAAGTTGACAGAATAGTGTTAATGAGTAATTACACCCCCCCAAAAAATGTTGTTACTTGTAAATTGAATTTTAAGAGCCATTAGCTAGATAAACCATGTGCTATTCCCAGCCCTTTACCTAGATTTTAAACAATATTTTAAAAGTTCAAGACAGATTTTTTTCCCCCAGTTTACTCTCTGAACATCTGTTGCTATAACTGAAGCTTTTTCCTTGTGCTTCCTTAAGCTCTCCCACCTTCGTGGACTTGGTAGTAAGAGGTTCCAGGGAGTACTTGCCTTTCTTCTCCCTGTACCTCTCAAACGGTCTTTAGATATTTACTTTCCACTACTCTTTAACATTATCTTTTAGCACTCAGAACAGACCAAGATGTCAAAGAAGACATACTCAAAAGGCGGGCTTGTTTAAGGCTTCCACAGAAGTGTAAGTATGAGATTACTGCTTCATTTCCTGACACCTTGACAAGTAGCATACCAGGGGGCAAGAAGCTGAGCTGCTGGGGAGAGGTAGGCAGACCAGGAAGTAGGCCAGGGGCAGGAAATGAAGCCCTGCTGTCTGCCATCTCTACTGAATAGAGCAAATGATCCTCTATTAACTAAAAAAATAGAAGAGTGATGTGGTTCTTTCCAGTGCGCCTACATAGCGTTGCTGTGTGTACCACAGGATGACTGCATGCTCCTTTCCCTATCGATCCCACTGTGCTGTATCCAGGACTTAACTTGAAACTTTTCAGGAAAGCCTATTGCCCAATGTGAGCGTTAGGTATAACTCTTAAATTTCTGTTTACATTGAAAGCTGTTCATTCACGGTGCCTCCCCCACTCCTAAGACCAAAGATGACCAAATAACATGGTAGACTCTGATTATTGTCTGACCTAGAAAGACCAAAGAGGTTATGTCCATTAAATCTGTAAATGCTGCTGTGTCTGGAAAGAAAGCCTTTAAATCACCGGTGGAAGTGGCGCCAACAGATAATCTCAATGGCCAGTTGTTCCGGCATTTATAAATAGAAAGGCCTGTGGGCTGTGGGCTAATGTTCAAGGACGGGACTGTAGAAAGTGGAAGCGATAAACCAGTTCTCAGTAGGAGGAAGTGGGACGTTTGTGAGTGGGGATTAGGGACACCAATAGGAACAGCTCCTTTGATAAAACAGTTACTACATTCCCACGACAACCTAAACACAGACTACCTCTTTCCTTATCAGATCTGCTAAGCTGTGAGGTTCTAAGAGGTCTGGGTGTGTTGTTTAACCTTTTGAAGATCACATTTCATTATAACATTCCGGCCAGACATTTGAAAATGACGTTTGTTCTTATAGTGTCCCCAAGTCTGCTGAGGGCCCATCTTCTAGTTTCTATTTCTAGTTGCACTTCTGAAATTTCATGTTTTGTTTGCTGGCTTTTAAAATATAGATCAGATCAATTTTCCCGACTTCATGAATAATCCTAAATTCACTAGAGTAAAAAACTGATTTCTTTGTTAATTACTTGTACAATGAAGGATGCCTTTTCAAAATAAACTGGTAATGTTGAATGGTATGAGGTGAAATCTTTAATTTCTGCCTTGCTGTAAAAGAGATCACTTGGCTTCTTGGGGGTTCCTTCCTCATCCTGAACACTTAAAATTGATACAGCCCAACTGAGAACTGTCAGCAAAATGGAACCAAAACCAGGACCCTTTCGTTTTCCTTTCATTTCTACACACTCAGTGAAACCTTAAGAGTTTACTAATTGCATAGCATCTAGCTGAAGTTCCATGCGGTAGGTACCCTGTTAACATCCACTTGTAACTATGGCCTAAGCTCCTTTTTAACCAGGAGGCCAAGCTCCATGCCAGTCTTGGAGGACAGGAGAGCAAAACAAAAGGAATGGCTGACTCCCAAATGGGAATAGAAAAGTCACTGTGCCCCTGCACCTCATTTAAGGAGGAGTTAAATCCTCCTTATCACAAAGTGATAAGGGTTATCACAAAATATTGTTAGCTCAATTACCCTGTTGAAATTAGCAATCCAAAGGGAAACAGCTTTGATTCCTAGAGGTGGGACACTTATCAAAAGAGGAGCTTTAAAAATTATATATTCTTTGATTACTTTTTTAAAAATTTAAATTTTTTCACAAAGTATCTTTAAAAAACGAAAACTCTGCTTGAACCTAAGTCAGAATTGTTTTAAAGAAGCCAAAAACTATGTTGGTTTTGGGAAGAAAGGTGAAAGACGAAACAGATTGAACTAAAGGCTAAGAGGTCCAAGGGAACTAAATGTGTGAAATCTTAGGGTCAGAAGGACAGATCTGTCCCCAAAGCAGGTGTGTGTGTGTGTGAAGTGAGCAAGGGAGAACTCGGGGTGTCTTACCGCCCGGATCTGGAGCTCCACCACCACTTCCATAGGCATCCTTCCCTGTGCACCGCAAAGATCCTTTTGTGCTGAGCCTTGAACCAATTATTTCTTAGTTTACATCAAGGCAAGTGTTTTCCAGAAGCTTCCCTGACCCCCACCCCTTCCCCTTTGTTCCCCCATCAGTGCTCCCAGCCCAGGTCCCTCCCACTGGGACTGGTATCTCACAACAAGCTTTGGAGTGTAAGCTTTCAGAAGACCGAAGCATCCGGTTGCCATGGACACTCAAACGCTCAACCTTCTCCTCTGGAACTCCTAGGAGGCTGAGACACAGGCGTGCTTAATGCTCTGCTGGGAGGGAACTGGACCTCTTCTCTGCTTCTCTGGCCCTGTGACTGTCTAAGGGCCTGGGAACCTGTCCACAGATGCTAGAGTTTTGTTCTGTCTCTCCCTGGACACTCTCTGGCCACAGTTATTATGTTCAAATGTTGAACAGTTTCCATCTCCAACGTGAAATAAGATCATAGCTTCGTTGCGTAATCATTTTTAGTGGCTCCAGGGCCCCAGACAGTGGGATTCCTGTGACCATTTCTATTTAGCATAATTGCCTGTCCCCTAGGGGACTCCCTTGCCTATTGAATGTCTTATCTCCTTCTTTGCCCCAGAAAACATGTTCACCATCAATAAATTGAGTAGTGTACTAACTATAAATAGGTCATTTCTAAAGAGATTTAAGTTAGGAATCTCAGGTCTAGAAAAAAATTCAGTTCTTCTTCCCTGCATTGTTCAGCTTTCCTAGTACTTTAAACCAAGCGTTGAATTGCACCGTCTCCCGGGGGTAGTTACTGTATTTGCCAAAACAGCAGCTGCACTGTAAATCAGGCAGAGTAAGATTTCTTAACTGGCAAGAGAAATGACATTTTCCCATTATATGTTATAAAACAACAACAAACAAACAAACAAACAAACAAAACAAGCCAGGCAGTGGTGGCACACGCCTTTAATCCCAGCACTTGTAAGGCAGAGGCAGGCGATTTCTGAGTTCGAGGCCAGCCTGGTCTACAGAGTGAGTTTCAGGGCATCCAGGGCTAAACAGAGAAACCCTGTCTCGAAAAACAAAACAAAACAAAAAAGATTTTTCTGGAAGGTCTGTGTCTCAAAAAATGAAATAAATAAATACATATTCTTTAAAAATGTGTACTGGACCATGTGGTTCAGTTGGTAGTATTGCCTAGTATTCATCAGAACTATATAAAATCTATCTTTGATCCATGTCCGTACTCTTAGCACTAGGAAGGTAGAAGCAACAGAGTCAGAAATTCAAAATTAGCCTGGAATACTGTGGTGGTTGAGAGTACGTGTGGCCTTGTTGGAGGAAACGCGTGTCTGTGGGAGTGGACAATGAGATCCTCCTCCTAATAGTGCTACTCCCCCTGGGCCAAGCATATTCAAACCACCACAAATATCTAATGAGTTTGAGGGGCAGCCTGGACTCCATGAGACCCTGACTCAAAATAGAATTTTAACAATGTTCTTGTGATTTATTATTGATGCTTTCTTTACATTGAGGAGCTGTGTAGTTGAAATGGTACAGGGAGATGTGCCTAGAAAGATACTGCTGAAGGTATTCCCTTCAGTAGCTATAGTTTACTTCT